AGACTATTTTTACTATCAGCTACCTAAAGAAAGTTTTTAACCAAAATTAAACGACAGGTTTTTTCACAAAAAAATTTTGAATTTGAAAAATACGCAATTTTCAAGGCTTAGATAATTCATAGTTTTTCAGTTTAAGGTCTTTAAAAATTATTTTGATGATATGTATATCAAAAAGATGACCATGTTTTTGTGTTAAATGATTGAAGGAATAAGCCAATGAAATTTGACATTTATATCTAACCTGGCTTTTTTGAAAATCAAGAAGTAAGTAGTTCATTGATTAAAAATTTTCTCTCGTTGTAGACAACTAAAGGGGGGTAACTTTTGGAAGTTCCTGTCCAAAAACCACTCGAACGATTTTGTCCAAAATGTGCATACATACAGTAGATATAGTCAAGTACTAAATATACAAAAATAACGAAAATTAAACGACAGGAATTTTTTGGGGTAGGTGTGTTGTACATCCTTAATTTTGCCTTCTATATAATTCCATACAAAATTTTGCACAATTTTCTAACTTAATGACAAAATCTTATAAAATTCTCCCACTCTACTTGGTAAACATTATTCAGGTTGTCAATTTAAATGTAAATCTATGGAAAATAATGCTGATTTCTGAAAAAAAGTTTGTTTGTGTTATTTATCCTTAATAAGGTAATAACATTTATTTTATGAGATTTTAGCAAGTATAAAATAGTAGGTAATCGACACTAAATTGGAGATTACTCGCGTATTTGCGGTATACTAGTACTTTTGAAAGTGCGTGAAAAATGCTTGATTGCGAGTAAACGGTATATGCGTCAAGCAGCGTGATTTTGTGTTAGACATAGGAATTTGTGTATGCGTTAAAATGTGAGACTGCGGGGAAGGGGGTTAAAACTCGGGAAGGGGGGTGGGGGGTCATATATATACACCATTTGATCAACAATGAAACGTTTGCAGGGATTGTTAAAATAAACAACCCGTCCATTAGCATACGCCATTTGAAAGGGTCTTTGTAATGAAAAAAAGAAACATGAAGACCAGTGATTAATCTCATGAATTCTGCAATCAATATATACAAGTCATGATCAGGGCAACAACGCCTGGAATCTCGAGGTGAACACAGGTAGAATTAGGTGTAAACATCTCTTGTTCTTGATTTTGCAATTGAAATCCCTTCTTAAAATAAATATGAAAACAACAGGATGACAATATCATATAGTAAACATTTATAAGATATTTGCAATCAAAGTTATGTTAACTACTAGATAAAATAAAAATGCTGAATTTAAAAGTGATTGTTGAAATTCCTGTAACATCATCTTATTTATCAACATTCTTCCTCGGTTTAAAATACATGTATGATCGTATACGGAAAAAACTAAACTCTGTAAGAGAGCAAACCACCCTTGCAAGAAATGAAAGAATTTGTAGAATGTGCGACATGAACTGTGTGGAAGATGAGATACACTCACTGATTGAATGTCCATTATATAAACATGATTATTGATAAAAGTAATAAAAATTTCTATACTTTAACAAATAAAGAAAAATTTTTATGGATTATGTCTAACGAAAATGACATGTTGCTTATCAAGCTGGGTAATTTTTTAATCAATATCTTTAAAATAAGAAATAGCAAATTATGCAATGTTAAACAAAGAAACAAATAAATACAAAAGAGAAATAATGTTTATACTCTAAAAAAAAAAAAAAAAAAAAAAAAAAGCTTTATATTTACAGTATGTTGATTATATATGTTGTAATCCCCAACTGCTGTGTCATCATTTATATTTTGTTAGTTGCTGCTATCAATTTTGAATTTCTTCTTGTATGCTTTTCTTATTTCTTGTATGCCCTGATGGGCCCCAAATTGATATTAATAAATCTTATCTTATCTTATTCTTGTTAGCTGAGACAGAGACATGATGTGCATGCATGAGATCATGGAATATTGCAATATATAGACTTTACGAAGGTGCAGGTTAAAAGAGGTATATAATGCGTGAAGAATCGACCAAAATTCTTTTATGAACGATGCTTTTTACACTTGCACTTGACGTCGAATCATATAATTTTCTTAATAAAAGTTGGTAGACCAATACCTGTAGGTATGACTTAAATTTTGATATAACGTCGAATGTAGTTTGAAGGTAAGGTAAGTTTTTAAATCTAACTTAAATTTATGAAATTTAAGGCTTCTTACCTTTTAGATCGAATCCCTAACGATTTAAGAAAGGATTCAGTTATCGATGCACAGCCGAGTTTATTTACATGTAGCAGTAATATTCGCCGACTTCATCGTCAGTGAGGCTGTATCAAGTTTTCGTATTCACTATATTCCGACACTTCCGCGTTTAGCCGCGAAAAAGTAGGTAAAAATAGCTTTTGGGATGGGTTTTAAATTTCTGTTTTGCTATAAATAGAGCCATGAAGGCAAAAATAATTTTGACAGAACCTTTTAATGTGTTTATTTAAGAGATTTGTTATAAAAGTTGTTGACTAGGTCTATTCAAATTTTTAAAAATCTCGATGTTAGGCTATGCTTAATTTCCTCGACCTTATACAATGCACCCGTTTTTCAATGTGACAAGTCGACTCAATGGCTAAGTGCCTCTAATGCGATGAGAAGTGTTTATCGTGCGCAATTATACAGGACGGGTACCGTTGAACTAAATCCTTTACCAAGCAAACAGGCGTGACCATTCTCAGTTGAGGACAGTTTAATTCTGAATACCACTGCCCTTTCCCTTTGTTAGACTTGCTTTCAGGACGTATATTTACATTGATTTGTATCTGTGCCAAAGCACTCGAAATTTGATTTTTAAAAATGCACAGAAAAATTAACCTGGGACATCAAACCCTTGGGACATGCCTGGTAGTTTTGCTGCTATATTTTCTTGGATGCACAAAGGCACTGAACAGGGAAACACTGTTCAAGGATGTTATAAATAAAATGGACCCAGCCATCGCTCCATTTGAATCAGCTGATACGGGAATTTCTGTCAATGTGTATCTAAACCTTATGGGAATTTCAGAGGTCAACGAAAAACAGCAAACTGTGAAAGGATCGTATTGGATTGTGTTAACATGGACGGACTGGCGTCTTAGATGGGATCCTAATTCTTACAGGAATATCAGCGCGGTTCAAATGAAAGCTGACAAGATTTGGTCTCCGACTTCTATTTGTATTTTTAATGAAATCGGAAATGAGAAGTGTTTCAATGCAGACGAAGACCCGGTTACAGTGAGTTCATTTGGATACGTTTCCTATTTGAAATACTTGGAGAGTGTGTCTCAGTGTACAATAGATGTCACGAACTATCCCTTTGACTCTCACTATTGTGGTCTTTATTTCGGAAATATTAATCCTAACACGGAATATCTGAATTTCAATTCGGAATATTCTATCTTTCTTCTTCAATATCTTCAGCCAAACGAAGTTTGGGACGTTCGGAACACTTCTGTTTTGGTGTACGATTATCAGGATCCTACGACTGGCGCCATCCAAAAACAATTACATTTTTATGTTCATTTGAAGAGGAAGTCATTTTACGTCGTAATTTCAACACTGGTACCCGTTCTTATTTTATCAGTGTTAAACTTATTTTGTTTTGTGGTACCTATCGACTCTGGTGAGAAAATGGGTTTTTGTATGGCCATATTTTTAACCTTTGCAGTATTTTTGACGATAATTAACGATTCCATGCCGAAGTCCTCAGAGAAAGTGCCATTCTTTACAATATACTTGATAACACAGCTGGTTATAAGTGGAGCTGTCGTTGTATTGGAAGCCATCGTGCTGTTTGTGCACTTCCATTGTTTTACAAATAAAGAAGATTCATCGGAACACAAGGACAAAGATTCTGCTACAAAGAAATGCAGAATGTCCGGGCCGATTCTCGATATTATTTTCTTATTGTTTATTTTACTTTGTGATGTACTTTCTATCATTTATTATGCTGTAAGCGTGTTGTAAACGTCCCGACTACATGTATAGATCACATTCTGCATTGAATGAAAATGCAAGCGGATACGTTTTATTAGAATTAATTTGATATTATCCCTTTTGCATTTATCTGAAGCAGGTTTTTTTAAGAAGATATTTTGTGTACAAATGATAAAGCGAGGAACCCAGAATTAACTCAAAGATTTAAAGTTTATTTTAGATTTAAGATTCAGAGCTATATGATCGTTTTTGAATATGTATATATTATTCTATTTTGTTTCATATTTGTTTCCATGAACAATGCAAATGTATTTTAATGTTGTATCACATTAAACACACAATTATGTTAACTTATTATCGAGTTATTTTTTCTGAGCCGCATACACTCGGTGGGATAATTATAAAGCTAAGCTACGCATTGATGATTGGATGTTTAACGTATTCTGTTATGTGAACGAACCACAGTACGGTGGTATATTTAGGACATACATTATTTTTCTTCTTATAAAATATATGATGTTGTTTGCACAACATAAATTTGTTTTAAAGAATTTTGTATTAAGTCAAATTGGTACGCTGTACCATGTCTCTCTTATGAAATTTCATGATAGAAAATTTATTTTAATAGTCGTATAAGAAAATTGAAGGTGGTATTAAGGCTTTGGAGTTTAGATAATTCATCAACACCTTAGCAACTTCCAACTTTCTTTGACAATACTTAGTTATTAATCCCGCAAAAGCAGCCATGGATCTGAAAGTACGTTTCAAGACGTGTGTATGAGGATGCGAGGGTACGTGTAGGTGAATTTTTTATTTTATTCTCATGAAAACAAAATGAGTTTTAATGTTTAGTCTTTATCCGCGATTTTTAAATTTTTAACATCGAAACGATTTCTTTATATCGGTTGATTAAAAGAAAAATATATTTTAAAGCATTCATTTCTATTTGATAATGAATGGATCGTAAAATAGAGATAAGAATCAATTTTGAAAAATAAATATCTGGCCTCTTTCATAATAACCACGCACTTTAATCTAGTTTTGTTTCTATACTAAAATAAAAAAAATATTACAGAAAAATATGTTGTGCTTATGACACAATTAGTCATTATGTAAGATATTTTATTTTTAAAAATATGAAAAAGGTAAAATATGTACATGTCCCAAATATACCTCCGTAATAATATCGTTCGTGGAAAAGTAAACGAAAGTAAAACAAACCAGTGTGACATTGAATCAACAGGTAAGTAAGGTTATTTACTTTAAAAGTTACATACAATTACATGAACATAAAAGTATATTTGTAGGAAGCTATTTCAGTATTTCAGGATGGAGTGAGGAACTTGGGCAGGAAGTGGGCGCAGTTGAGGAAAAATTCCTAGACGAACTACAGACGTAAACAAGGCGGTTAGTTTGTTGTTTTTTGAACAGTTCTTGGGATGAGAAGGGGAGGAAGTGCCCAGAGGTTCGCTACACCAGAGCAGCACCCTTCTCTGTTGGTGGTCAAGAATGCCCTTCATTTTATCGTGTCACACGGAGGGCAGTTGACGATCTCCCAGCTTTTACCCCTGATTCTTCAACACCCACAGCTCAGTTATTTAGACATCGGAAATCTTTTACAAATCCTACAGTCATACTCTAATGTGTTTGACCTTGTGGATACCAGAAAAGGAAAGCCGCAGATCCAGGTCGGCTTGGCGTTTGAGTTAGAAATATGTGAGCAGCCAAGAAAATGTGGAGGCTACCCTCGATGTACAGAACTACATATCTGTAAATACTTTATTCAAAACAAGTGCAGGGCAAATCCAGCGAAATGTTCCTTTGGGCACGACTTGCATTCACAACATAATTTGCAAATTCTGGAAAAATTTAGCTTAGATCAGATAGATCCAGAAGTAATCAAAAAATGGATGCAGCAGCATCACAACAAGAGATCGAGGGCTTCCCGTCCACCGCAAGTCTGTACGTTCTACAACACCGCGGGAGGATGCAGCAAAAAGGATAGCTGTCCATTTTTACATCTCTGCAGCTATTTTGTGAAGGGGAGCTGTAAATTTGGTAACAAGTGCACTAGAAGCCATGCTCTCCGGTCAAAACGGAACAATGGTAGGAGGACTTGTAAAAAATGAATTTTAAAAACATTCTGTTTACATTTATTATATGCTATATTAGGTGTTTTATCCTTTTTAAAAAATTATTTTGTTCGTAATGCTATTTAGAAATCTTTCGAGAACATGGGATCGATCTGCGATGTAATCAGGAGGAAATCCTTGATATACTCTCCGAGAGGAGGGCACAGGTTGACTACGAAAGGTAAAATTATATATACTGATTATGTTTTGTTGTCCTAACATTTTATAATCATGATTGTACGTGATTGTATATGTTTGTGACTAACTTAATTTTGATATTGCTTTATTTTTGTTTAATTTTTTTTGCATTTTAAATTTTTTTGGCATATTTGCATATTGAATAACACGCGCAATTCAAATTGTACTTAGGGTCCAACATAGAAAAATTTCCTCTTTGAGTTCAAAAAATCACGTCGTAGAGGGCTAAATATTTGAAGAAAAAAAATTCTCCAAACTAGCTTCCAGAGGATCACCTACTCGGAGGCATTGAACAGCAAACCTTGGAGGTCGAAAAGGTGTAAGGCATTAGAATGAAATTGGTGAAGATAAAGAACTGATCGAATTTAAAGAAAAAAAACTAGTTTTAACCTATAAACAAAGTCCTATGTATTGATCATACAGACTGGATAATCTAAATTTAAAAATTTAACTAAAACTAAATATGAAACACACCAGTGAAAATACGCACAATATAGGGTAGCATTTGCTAGCAAATATTCATTAAAATGGCAAGAGAATTTAAGAAATTCTGTCATCTTATATGTCATTAGCTTGAGTCGATTCAAATAATTAATATACTAAGTACTCGTATATATATAGCAATCGTAGTCAGAGAATGCTTTTGGGTATCGAATGAAGGAGAGTTTTTATTGAGAAACCAAAAATGAAGTTAATGTTTTCGTTGGCTTGCATATATAATACTAACACGGGCTGACATTGTGAGTGTAATTAACAATCCAAATATATACGCTTTACTTCTCCTTTAAGTTGCATTTTGTAAGAATTATGATTGAAATACATTGACAAGTTGCAAATTATGTTGGTTTCATGATCTTAGAACGCAAAAATAAAATTTTTTCATCATGATTTTCACAATTGTTATGTCTTTGTCAGTCCAAATCTAACAAAATAAATTGTCTCCAAAAGTTAGATTGAATGTTAGAGAATCGAAGAAATAAGTTTTCGGCCATTAATTGGATCCGTAAATTAACATATACTTACTACACGATCATCACTATCAGCAGATTCATAAAAACCAAAACGAATGGCATATAATGTATATACGCTTTTAAAAGCAACATCCGCAATATTAAAATAGTTTTTCTACAGCATTAATTTACCAACGTATTTCTCGTGTTTTTCATTTTAAGGTGGTCTTCAGTATCTACAGACCCACGTGACTCGGACACTGATGACGTGTTTTCAAATTCCGACAAGGTGGGTTGCTAAACTTGTATATAATTTGATCAACTTGAATTTGTTGATATATATTGGGTTGACTTTTGCAGTCAAAATCAAAATTTATTTGTACCTAAATTAAAGGAAGACGAGGATGGGATGACTCCAGGAAAACCATTTCTAATTAAAGCCAACTCGGACTGTATAACGATACAGTGGAAACACGTGTCTCATTTGTCAGCAGAATTCGAATACCAAATTCAGTACAAAGAGATGCCTGACGGGAGATGGAATATATTCACCCAAACAATATCCCATGATGCATCACGAGCCGCTGTATCCGGTCTGAAGGCAAGCTCCTCCTACTCTTTCCGGGTTCGACTCGTGGACGCCAGAGAAGGTGAAGAATATCCCTTTAGTCGTGAAAGCTCTATTTTTGATACTCCCGAGTCTCCAGCTTTAAAAATGCAGCGTTGTTCAATTTTGGTGACGAGTGGAAATCCAGAAATTTATCGACTACCTACAAAAAACGTCACGAGCGCCAGGAATGACAAAATAAAGTCAAAGAAGCTTTCTATAGGTTTGTTATATTTCATATTTTAATGTCATAGATTTAACAAGAGGCCCATGGGCCACATCGCTCACCTGAGTAACTTGGGTGATGCATTTCTTTCCAGATTCTCCCTCTTGCTATACCTATCATGCCCCCTACCCCCTCCCCTTTTATGATTTTAAAACTTACAATCTACACTACCCCAGGATGCTTCCACATAAGTTTCAGCTTTCCTGGCCCAGTGGTTCTTGAGAAGAAGATTTTTAAAGATTTGTTCTATATATTTCTATGTAAAACTTGGATTCCCTATTGTGGCCCCGCCCTACCCTGGGGGGTCATGATTTTAACAATTTAATATCTACACTGCCCAAGGATGTTTCCACATAAGTTTCAGCTTTCCTGGCCCAGTGGTTCTTGAGAAGAAGGTTTTTAAAGATTTGTTCTATATATTTCAATGCAAAACTTGGATTCCCTATTGTGGCCCCGCCCTACCCCGTGGGGTCATAATTTTAAAAATTTAATATCTATACTGCCCAAGGATGTTTCCACATAAGTTTCAGCTTTCCTGGCCAAGTGGTTCTTGAGAAGAAGATTTTTAAAGATTTGTTCTATATATTTCTATGTAAAACTTGGATTCCCTATTGTGGCCCACCCTACCCAGTGGGGTCATAATTTTAACAATTTAATATCTACACTGCCCCAGGATGCTTCCACTTAAGTTTCAGCTTTCCTGGCCCAGTGGTTCTTGAGAAGAAGATTTTTAAAGATTTGTTCTATATATTTCTATGTAAAACTTGGATTCCCTATTGTGGACCCGCCCTACCTTGGGGGGTCATGATTTTTACAATTTAATATCTACACTGCCCAAGGATGCTTCCACTTAAGTTTCAGCTTTCCTGGCCCAGTGGTTCTTGAGAAGAAGATTTTTTAGTGACCCCACCCTATTTTTGTCTTTTCTTGATTATCTCCCCTTGTAAGGGGAATTGGCCCTTTATTTTAACAATTTAAACTCCCCTTCACCCAAGGATGCTTTGTACCAAGTTTCGTTAAAATTGGCCCATTGGTTCTTGAGAAGAAGTCGAAAATGTGAAAAGTTTACAGACGGACGGACGGACGGACGACGGACAAAATCTAATCAGAAAAGCTCACTTGAGCCTTCGGCTCAGGTGAGCTAAAAAAAAAACTTATATAATAATTAAAAGAACAGTAATAAGTGATCTTTTGCATTTAATGCTTTGATTAAAGACTTATTCGTAAATCAAAATCAGAAAATCAGTGCGTAAACTGTCCTGCTGTATACTCACTTGATATCAAATTTTTTTTTCAAAAGCATATATTTCTTGTAGGTTCTGGGCGGCTTTGTGTAAGCGAAAAGACCATCATGTTGGTTGGAGCTACCGGAAGTGGAAAAAGCACCCTTATTGACGGACTAGCGAATTATCTATTTGAGGTGAACTGGGAAGATAATTTTCGATTCACGCTAGTAAGCCTGGAACACGAGGAGAAGAGAAGACTTAAAGACCAGGTTAGTACTATAATAACATTACTATTATATATATTGTAGTGTACCGTTAAATTACATATAATTTTTATTTGTTTGTAGTCTACTAGATGACTGCAGTAATTAAGTATGTGTGTAGCTTATATTATAAATGCAGTAAATAACTTTTGACAATTTTTGATTAATCCACAGTTATTCTTTTGCAAAACCCTGTCTCTTAAAGCTTTTTTGATTAGAGAGTATTTAAACTGTGTCTTTTAATGTGTCTTTATGTAAGAATTTTTTATTTAAAGAAATGCCATGTTGTCATATTTTTGGAGATAAACGTATGGTTGTAAAGAAGAGAATGATTTGTATATTCATGAATATGAAGGTCTTGGTTTGTCAAAATACTAAGCTAAATACACTGTACGTATGATTTCAGGCAGTTTCACAGACTGAGTGGATCACATGCTATAGCATTTATCCCGATGCGGCAACCAAATTAGATTACGCTCTGCACATTGTGGACACTCCAGGATTTGGCGACACAAGAGGAGTGCAGCGAGATCAGGAAATTATCAATCAGATTCGAGAAATGTTCCTACTTCCGGGAGACAAAGGGATGGCTTGTCTCGACGCCGTCTGCTTCTTGGTGAAAGCCCCAGATGCAAGGCTTACCGCATCTCAGAAATATATTCTGGAAGCCATCTTGTCTTTGTTTGGGAGGGATATGGAGAATAACATCTGTACCTGTATTACGTTCGCTGAGGCCCAAGAACCCCCAGTGCTGGCCTCCCTAGCAAAGACACGTTTGCCACATAAAACCTTTTTCAAGTTTAATAATTCTGCTTTATTTGCTGAAAATAAAGACAGGGATGGTCTGGCGCATGCTTTCTGGGACATTGGAAAGAAAAGTTTTGATAATTTCTTTGCCTGCCTAGATAGAATGGAAACAAAGAGCCTTCAAATGACCAACGAAGTTCTAAAGACAAGACAAGATCTAGAGAATACAGTTCACAATCTACAAAGCCTGATTAATGCCGGAATGTCCAAAATCGCAGTTTTGGAGGAGGAAATGTCTATTTTTGAGAAACACGAAGCAGAGATACGAGAAAATAAGGACTTTGTTTACGAAGTAACAGAGCAAGTCCAAGATAAAGAGGATATATCTGGAAAAGGACAGCACACAACGAATTGCCTCACCTGCAATTACACTTGTCATGAAAAATGTCAAATTCCTGAGGATTCTCGCAAAGACCATTGTGTAGCAATGGATCAGGATGGTACGTGTAAACAATGTCCGGGGAAGTGTCATTGGAGAGCTCACCATAACACTCCCTACATCATCAGATGGGTTTCGAAAACGGTTAAGAAAACCTATCGTGAAAAGTTACAAAGATATGCATCTGCCCAGGAGAAAGTTGGCACACAGAAACAGGTTCTTCAAAAGATGAGAAAAAATGTAAAAGCACTTGAAAATGGAATAGCTCATCTTCTGGACACGATATCAGTCAGTAACAACAAGCTAAATAAAATCGCTTTAAAGGAGAACCCACTGAATACGGCTGAGTATATAGAGTTAATGGTAGAAGCTGAGAAGAGGGAACGAAAGTCGGGATTTATGTCGCGTATAAAGGTCTTGGAAGATTGTCGTCAAAAAGCGCTAATTGGGCGTGAAGCTGCAGATTTTCTACAGAAAGCCAGGCAAACAAGGTCCGCGTCTTCCAAACACTTAGATGACACCGGAAGCGTAATTGGTTCAGAGTCATCTGTAGTCAGTAGAATGTATTCACTTATGAACCTTGTGTAGATTTAAAAAAAAAAAAAAGAAAGAGTGCGATTGTATGGATGAGAAGATGACTTTAGAAAAGACTTTCATTGACACAAGTAATGAGTAAAATTAAACTACTAGTGTATAAGTAAAATACGGTTTAATTAATATATATATATATATATATATATATATATATATATATATATATATATATATATATATATATATATATATATTGCTATTTTATATGCATGTAACTATAATTTACTTAAGTAACTAATAAATAAGTTTTTTTTTAAGATTTGGGTGAATCGTAAGTGAATACCCGTTTCCTGCCTTTTTCGTGATTTAAAGTCACACATTCGTAAATCCATTGTTTTGTGGCACCTGTTCTTAAAACAATGCACACAATATTTACATTAATGGTTTTTACTTCACATATCAAACAGGCAGATTTTACTATATCATAAGAATATCTAGTTCTGTTTTGGATATGATCGTGGCATTTTTGACAGAGTTATTTCCCTTACACTTAGAAAAATTCCAATAATTTGCAGTTTTCGTTCATCTTTGCAGAGGTTGCACATGTTGAAATGATATTTGGTAAACAGATTTATCATAAAAATATCTACGTCAAATTTTAGGTACGATCGAGCTATTTGGATAAAGTTATGTCCCTTGGACTCGGAAAAATTCCAATTATTAGGGGAAGCGGGCATATTCAAGTATGAGGCGCCATTTTGGTATTTACTGGCAAAGAGTGACATCACCTATTCGAATAGATGATGTGACTTATTCGAATAGGTGATATCACCTTTTCAAATTGGTGTTATCACCTACTGGAAATGACTAGGTGATATCACCTATTCAGTTTGAATTGGTGATACCACTTATTCGAATAGGTGATATCACCTATTTTTATTTATAACAACAAAAAATAATGAATGCTCCCTTTATGAAGCACCGTTTTAGGCATTTACTTGCAAAATGTGATATCATCTATTCAAATAGGTGATATCACTTATCCGAATCACAGGAGTCTGAAGTTTTCATCGTCCAAAAAAAAAAAAAAAAAAATCCGGAAAAAAAATTTCCAACCCTCAACTTAAAAACATAGGTAATCAAAGATTACGAAGCTCACCTCGACGAATGTTATCAGTTTAAGTAATGGAAATTTCACATCATATTTTCTTAATATTTAGTATTCATCCCAACAACAATATTCTTGCAAGTTGTGTTTAACCCCTTATATGGCATATACACATTTCTACGTGTGTAGCGTGAAAAACATACATAATGTAAACAAATATTCATAACTTTGTTGTTTGTTTTGAACATATTTATTGTATAATTTATACAACGGGATTAGTTACAAGTTCTTGCAACTTAGAAAAACCTCTCCCTGTAATATATAAAATAATTAACTTTGTTAATACTGCATATATCAAGGACTTCAAGTTCATTCGGATTGATCTGTTCCCAAAACTTTAACCTGGTCTCTTGTATGAAAAATAAAGGTCAGATCCAGCATCCGAAGCAAGTCTGATAGTGTCCATCCTTAGATGCATCATCCATGCAAGTTTGGTCACAATAGGGCTTATAGTTACTTGGGAATGAAAATGTAGGTCAGATCCAGCATCCGAAGCAAGTCTGGTAGTGTCCATCACTAGATGCATCATGTATTCAAGTTTGGTCCAAATAGGGTTTATTTCTGTGGAATGGACCTGCTCCAAAAACTTTAACCTGGTCACTCATCTGGAAAATGAAGGTCAGATCCAGCATCCGAAGCAAGTTTTGTAGTGTCCTTACCTAGATGCATCATCCATGCAAGTTTGGACCAGGTAGGGCTTATATTACTTGGGAATAGACCTGCTTCAAAAATTTTAACCTGCTCCAAAAAATTTAACCTGGTCACTCATCCAGAAAATGTAGGTCAGATCCAGCATCCGAAGCAAGTCTGGTAGTGTACATCCCTAGACGCATCATCCATGCAAATTTGGTTCAGGTAGGGCTTATTGTTCTTGGGAATGGACTTGCTCCTAAAACTTTAACCTTGGACGTCGGCGTTAGGCCGACACCGACGCCGGGGGTATAGCATAAGCTCATCTCGACTTCGTCGAGGTGAGCTAAAAAGCAAACGTGTGGTTTTTTTTAGTTGAGGGTGGAAATTATTTTTCCGGATTTTTTTTTTTTGGACGATAAAAATTTCAGACTTCTGTGTCCGAATGGGTGATATCTCTTATTCCAATAGGTGATATCACCTTTTCGAATTAGAAATATCACTTATTGGAAGTGAATAGATGATATCACCTATTTGAATAGGTGATATGATCTATTGGTGCTGAATAGGTTATATCACCTGTTCATTTCCAATAGTTGATGTCATCTATTCGAATATTCCATTGTCTCCAAGAACGATGAGCATGAAACGAAAGTGAAAGTAATTTAGATTTAGGGACCTATAGCCTTGGGAGCCGTTGTTTTTTCATAAACGATTTGAATAGGTGATATCACCTATTCAAATACCCAGTAAGTGATATCATCTTTTCGAATGAGTGATAACACCAATTCAGATCAAATAGTTGATATCACCTAATCAAAATCTGAATAGGTGAATTCACCTTTTCGAACAGGTGATATCATTTTTAGCAGTAAACACCAAAACGGTGCTTCATAGCATAATCTTAACATTAATTAATTGTTCTGACTATATTTAAGGAGTCTGAGTGTCAACAAATTAAAATACAATTTCATTTTTAGATATGCTGTTTCAAGCTGTCAACTATCATTGGGCAAAGAAAAATATAATACATTATAGTGTTGTGAGGTGTGTATTGTTTCATCATGTATATTATTAGTAACATTAAGTTTCTTGAATATTCCAGAGTGGTCAACATGTTTGGTCATTTTTTTCTAGAACATTCTTAACACGCATTCTCTGTAAGCACCAAAAAATCTTGGAAACGACATGTCTCAGATTTTGATGAAATTTTCACCATAGGTGTGTCTTAGTACAAAACTAGTAAATATGGTGTCGGAAGTTCCACACGTGCACTTGGTTGCCATGGAGACGGATCCTTTGATTTCGGCCATTTTTTACCCTTTTTGACTAAATGAAAACGTGAAAATTGAGGAAATGTAAATGAATATTTATCGGTATCTTATACACTCTAACAAAAATCATTGGATTATATGATAACATGAACTTTTAAGGTACACAGGACATATAATCGTTTATTCTAGAAATATCCCTCCTGTAAGAAAAAGGTCATGCAAATTGACATGGTTTCGAAAAGATTGAAAAATGGGGAAATTGGCATTTTTTGAGATCTTTAAGGCTTAATAAGAAAAATTGTCCGCGGAAATTTTCCAAATTTCATGTGTGTTATTATACTTGGGGACAAGTTGTATCATCTCATGAAAAAATATCAGTGGGCTTTTGATCCTATTTTTAGTAACATGTATCTATAAATAGATATATTTTAGAAAAATGTGAAAAATCAAATTTTGGCAAAGTTTTAACTGCCATTGCTGCATAATTAGGAAGCATATTGTAAAATTTGAGATTTTAATGACAAGAGCTGGACACCATTAGCTGGTATGGATAATGGTTGAGGGGAATTCCCATTTCTATTTTTAGTATCAGGTGGCTAAATATAGATATGTCTCTGAATATTAAGAAAAATAGCATTTTTGTTCTAATTGGAAGCTTCATATAAAAATTCTTAACAAATATAAAGCTGTCTTCAATACCTGTTCAAAATGTATATGTGTTTGTACAATAATTGCCACAATATTGAGGATGGACTCTTGTATCATTTTATAGCAACAATGGTCTAAAAATAGATTACTCGAATAATTGAGAAAATGTACATTATTGCACCTTTTCAGGTACTTTTTAGATGTAATTGCTGAATAACTAGGAACTATTTTGTAAAATTTGAGACTTTAATGACAAGAGCCGGACAACACTAGCTGGTATGGATAATGGTAAATGGGAATATCCATTTCTATATTTAGTATCAGGTGGCTAAAAATAGATTTGTCTCTAAATATTAAGGAAAATGGCATTTTTGTTTTAATTGGAAGCTTCATATAAAAAGTCTTAACTAATATAAAACTGTCTACAATATGCTTTCAAAATGTACATGTGATTGTACAATAATTGCTACAATATTTAGGATGGACTCTTGTATCATTTTAAAGCAACAATGGTCTGAAAATAGTTTCCTCGAATAATTGAGAAAATGTACATTATTGCACTTTTTCAGGCACTTTCTAGAAGGCATAGCTGCATAATTAGGAAGTATTTGATTAAATTTGAGATGTTAATGACAGTAGCTGGCCACAACTTTCTAGTGAGGACAATATTTCAGGGGGGTTTTCTCATTTCTATTTTTAGAATCAAGTGCCTAAATATAGATATGTCTCTAAATATTAGGAAAAATGGCAATTTTATGCTAATTGGAAGCTTTATAGAAAATTAAACGTCTAAACAAATATAAAGCTCTCTACAATATACTTTCAAAATGAAGACGTGTTTGTTCAATAATTGCTACAATATTGAGGATGGACTCTTGTTTTTTTTATAGCAACAATGGTCTAAGATTCCTGGAATAATCGAGAAAATGTAGTTTATTACACCTTTTCAGGCAACGTTGGAAAGAAAAAATATGTGCTAGTTACCGTTAACTAACAAGTATAAAAACAATGATGAATACCAGTTTTACTTATATTTGAAATATGCGAAGTCAATGAGGATTTCCAATTCTATTTATAGAAACAAAGAACAAGGTACAGTTTCAATACAAAATAAGCTCTATATTTTTCTAATATATGAAAGTGATAAAGGAAATCAAAATTCATTCTTTTTGAATAATACCAAATCCCTGCATGCAGTAAGATAACACAAATCGTTTTTCTCATATGACCTCCTAAATGCTTATTGTGACGTCATCAACATGTGCATTTTCCTGTATTTTCTTAAAAGGTTGCAGAAGACATCAATTTTCAGTGGAATTTTCTTTCAGAAAACATACATTGCCACTCTGGGCCCAGAAAAATTTTGAGATATGTGATTTTTCATAGCAGTTTACATAATACATCCAAAAATTAAAGAGGGTGACGGTGGCAAGCACTATTTTCTAAAGGAAAAGCAGCAC